GCTGATTCTGATATGAAGTTCGATAAACTTGTAATGTCTACGTTAACAAGAGCCAGAGAGACAGCTGAAATAATTCTGCAACAAATGCCTTCATTGAAAAGGTAAATATATTCGATTATATTCAGTTTTTGAATCTAAACATCTTCTTCACTTAACATATATCCACACTTTTGATTTTTAAGCTCCTGCTGTTCACTCATCGAGGAAGGCCCTCCTTATCCTCCAGTCCCAGCAGTCGATCACTGGAAGCCGCAACATGCCGTAAGAATTTTCATTTATGGCAAATTCAGATATCCTACAGATCCTTTCATATGTTCCATGTTTGATGTTTCTATCTTTCTCTTGATGTGTACTTGAGGAGTTCTTCGCGGAAGGTTTAAGAATCGAGTCCGCCTTCCGCCGTCACATCCATCGCGCTCCTCCTTCGCAGAAAGAGGATTCATATGAAATCTTCGTTTGTCACGCAAATGTTATTCGTTACTTCGTATGCCGGTGCGCAGTTGTATTCGTTTCAGCATCCCTTTTTCCATATTTTTGGTCCTTTAATGAATTTTATTCAGGGCTTTGCAATTTCCTCCTGAGGGATGGCTTCGTATGTCTTTAGGGAATTGCAGCATAACCTGGCTTGTTATCCGCCCTTCAGGTCGTGTTATCCTCCGCAGCCTTGGTGATATTGGTCATCTGCCTCCTTCCAAAGTGTCGTTCACGTGAATTTAACGTACATCTAAATTAGCAATAGTTTCTATATGATCTACCGATTAACGTCTCAGTTGTTGCATGTTTTATCTTTCAAATATTTGTCATCCCCTTTCTCCTTCGTCATCCATTTCGTAAGTGTCTTAAACGAATTGTGTGCCATTCGATCGTGATTGAATAATCTGCTCTTTAAACAACTCTGCAAATTATAGACTTGTTGTCAACTAAGTTCTCTCTAATGATTGTTAGGTAATTTAAGCAAGCTAACGCTATGTTTACTACTATCTTTCTTGGACGTGAACGGGTGACTATTGTTTTGTAAACAAAC